TTGTATTTTTGCTTTTTGTAAGATGATTATTGTTATTTTTACTATTATTATTACGTGCATATGTTAGTTTTACTATTATTACGAATGTTGTTATTATTGTCAATTTTATGTATTATTACTTTACGACGATTGTTATTATTATTGTTCTGATTTTGACTATTAGTCCGCATTTGTAAGAATATTTTCTAAAAAAACAATTTATATTTAGACGATATTTCCAAAAACAAGTAATGCATATATATTGAAAAACGATATTAATTCCGAAAACAATATTTATTTTAAAATTTATTGCCTAACGATCTTTAGTTTTGCCGGTCGCTTAAATGAATAAAAATACGATTAAAATTGATACAAATATATATATATCTATCATAATATTAATTTAATCAATATTTAAAATAAGAATATCTATACATATTATATTTGAGATGAATTACATTGTTTGAAATAAGCGCCATTTCCAGCTCAGATCCAAGGTAGCCATTTTTCTTTTTTTCCACATGTGGAGTCGTAATTGCGGTCTGTGAAAGTGGTATGATTTGGTGGATTGCTGCCTTCATCCTTCCTTTTGGCCAACAGCTGGAAAACCCGGTCCTAAGTCCGGGCAACGTGTGTTTTCATCAGCACTTCGACGCTCCTTGCACTTGGCACGCGTTGGGCGCGAGGGTTGATCCCCTATCCTCTCAGGGGATCTGGAACGGGTGGAACATGGATTACGTTGAATCCCACCCCGCAAAGCTCAATGAGGTATGGGCTCAGGCGGGCCTCGATCCTGCGCAGTTCAAATCTCGCATCACTCGACTCAAACGAGCTTTCGTTAGAGCTTTCAAACACAGTCTCACACAGGGTGTATCCATGTATAAGGGCAAACCACTGTATCCCAGAGATGTTCCATGGCACATTCGACAAGCCTGGCAATATCAATAGGCAAAAGATCACCTATTGCAGATTATGAATTGGAACTTCTCCAGGATCCTCCAATATGACGAGTTTCATGACTGGTGGACCGCTAGTTCGTATGATTGCTTCATAATCCAAGAGACAGGCTGGAGTTTTTCGGGGGAGTGGACTTCAAGCCACAGTGCTGACAAACAAGCCTCTGTCATGATCATGATTCGTAAGGCTCTTCTCACATCCAACAGGCTTTCCACGGCCATACACGTTCCGGGACGCTGCATCCAGGTTCGCCTTCATGCACAACATCCATACGATTTGATTGCCATCTATCAGCATGCCTGGAATGCCAGCCGGGGTACTCAGACCCTTTGCACTCGTAGACGACAGGTTTAAAAAAAGATTGAGGATTGTGTCAAATATGTCCCATCACACCATTTCTTGGTTCTTGCCGGTGACTTCAATTGCCCTCTTCAGAAGTCCACCCCTGGCATAGGCAATTGGGATCCCAAATGTTCGACAGCCTCTCAACAAGATCAGCCATTGTTTCGGGAGATGATTGAACGACTTGAATTGGTAGCAATGCATTGCCAGTCCAATTGGCAGGCTATGTTCGTTCACGGTTCACATGCCACCCGCATCGATTTCATGTTCGTTCGACTGTCTCAGGTTCATCGTAATTCCATGATCCTTCACCTGAATGATCTTTTTGAGCGAAATTTTGGGAAGAATGGACCTCAACACAGGCCCCTGGGGCTTTGTCTTCCTCGGTGGCACCCCCCGCCACGTAACAGATAGACTCCTGACCCCATCAATCGCTTTCAGCTTCGACAGGCCTGCATTTCACCATCTCAGCAACGGATTGGTTTTGTTCATGAGGCACGTATGCTCATTGATCAACATGAGAAAAATCCTGCCCATTTTCCAACGGATCAATGTCGTGCACTAGAGCATGCTCTTCGTAAGCTTTACATCAGGAATTTTCCAAAAGCTGCCACTGGCACCCAACTTGATGACCCTCCACGGCTTTCCATTTCCAGCCGGATATGGCAGGCCAGACGTGAAGACATGGCCATCACCCACAGGACGATATCGGACATTTTTCGAACTTGGAAATGCATTTGCACCTACGCCAGATTGCACCGTCCAATCAAACAGGTTAGCCGCCAGAATAAGAAAAATCGTCTCGAACAATTTTTGCAAGACAGTGCACCCTTTGATCTTCAATATAATGCCTTCGATTGGCATAAATAGATCCGTAAATTTTGTCCCAAGCAAAGATATCGTAAGATCCAGATGTATGACACAAATGATTATCACTTGTCTCCCAGTCAGGAGTTCAAAGACATTGAAGATTTTTCCAAGATCTTTGCCATAACCCTGATTTGTTCCTCCCAGGTGTCCGCCAATCATGATTCCATTTGACGAAGAGGACATCCAACAAGGCCTAAGCGCACTGCCACTCACCAAAGCACTGGCCCCTGATGACCTGCCCGCAGTGACTGGGAGGACCCTCGCATCCGAATTTGCACCTTTGGTTTTTCGTACTATCCTGGCCTGTTGGAATTGAGCCGACGGGCTCCCACCATCCCACTGGTCAACGGGTTGGTTACACCTTCTCACCAAGCCTGGCAAGCCATGCAATAAACCCTAGGCCCTTAGACCAATCTGTCTCCAATATCCTGTCAATAAGGTAATTTCTGGTATCCTCACCCAACAAGTGATGCACCACGCATTCCCCACCTTGAGAAGTTTACCGCTGTTTGCATACTTGCCAGCTCGTAGCACCACGGATTGTCTTCTCCTGGTATCCCAACACTGCCAACGAGTCCGTAGTTCTTGTCAGGGTCGTTACACTAACTTAGACAAACAGTCCTTGATTGGGGGCATCCAAGTGTCATCGGACATGGAGAAGGCGTTCGACTCCATCAGCCGCGATGTAGTGATCCGTGCATTTCATGCTCTGTCCATTCCTGACCCGGTTGTTCACATGATTCAATCTTGATTGTCATTGCATAAGTATTTTGTTCCCTATAAAGACCTGGTCGGATCTTTGCAAGCAAATCGAGGGATCCAACAAGGATCAAAAGGGGCACCAGCCCTCTGGACGCTGTGCATGAGCTTGATCATGATGGATCTATTGGCCAGATTCAGCACAGATTGGGTGCGCGAACACCTCATTATTTTTGCAGATGATATCCATCAGCGTTGGCACCTCCAAACGCCCCCCCGATGGTCTTCAATCTCTGACAGATTTGTCATTTGTTTTGAACTTGCTCAAGTCCTATGGCCTGAGAATCAACACCACGAAAAGCGTGGCCCTGCGCCGTATGATTGGATGATCGGCTCCATCCTTCTTGAAAAAGTGGGTGTGCCGCACCAAAACTGGACCTAAGCTTCGAAGCAGGCTATCTTGGGATCAGCATCAGCTATCGAGCGTGGGAATCCGACACTGTCCATCGTAGAGTTGCAGCAGTCAATCACCGAAATCGATTCTGAGACGATGTCTCATAGCCCCCCATGGTTCCTTTGCATCTTAGATTTCGATTTTATCAACAGTGTATCATTCCCACCTTGCTTTATGGTGTGTTTGAAATGGGGGTCGCAACTGCTGGCTTTCGGAAGCTTTCCAGTGTCATCAACACCCACTATAGACGTATTTATCGATCCCCGGTCCATCTTACACACGAATCAATACATGATTTTTTTGTCAGACATCAGTTTGAGCCACCATAGATCCAATTGCAGAAATATCCCCATCGTCTTGAAACGGCATTGCATAATCGTCGCATCTCCCTGAGGGACTCCGCCATGGCCAACCAGAGCCAAGATGTGTGTGTGTGTGTGTCCAAACCCCGGATTACCCGTATTCTGATTTAGCCTCCCCGATCGATGTTCACGTACCCTCCGCTCAGGACGATAGCAGGGCATGTCCTGAATGCCACAGGACTTTCCAGCAGGCGGGTATGTTGGAACGTTACCTTAGGCAGGTCCATGGGTTTGTATGTGACCGAGAAGATAAGTATCAGCCACTCAGAGACTCCCTAGATAGAACAAGCACTTCCAGACATTGTTTACGTTCTTTTGCAAACATGTATATCCTCAAAGATCACATCAACAAACATGCATGCGCCAAGTTTGATGCGGCTCAGGGCACCGTGACTCCCATCTCAGCTCGTGCTGAACTTCGAATGCACCTGAGACATCAATCCTTCCAGGGGTTGCTCCTAGATCAGAGCTTGTGCGCCGAGCTTTCGACTCACTGTGCCTTCTGTCACACGCAAGTTCCTGCCCGAGCCATGCATAGACATTACACAGAGTCTCACCCGGAGCTGCTTGTCCTTGGTAGACCCAACCAGGATCGTGTTCAAGGGACCGCAAACTTTGGATCAGGACCAGGAGTGCGCCCTCTTTGTCAGACTAGAACCCAGAAAGTGCAGTTACACCAATGCGCAGTGACATTTCAGATCGCCATTATGACCGGCCATACTGTTGATGGACAAAATCCTGCACCACTTTGCGCACACTTTTCTTGCTGCCCTCTTCTCCCTCATTAACATTGGGGCCTCCACAATGAGAAACAAAAATAAATTGAAGGTCCAAAATCCTGCACCACCTCCTCAGAGGGGTCGCGCCAACATTGAATGCGGGGGCACGGGGGTTGCTATGCGACCCTCCAGGGTAAAGTGCTGAGGTGGTGCAGGATTTTGTCCAACAACAGTATTTTGCAGCCTGATCATTTTCCGGTCATGCCAATCAACAAACGTCCATGGCCCATTGCATTCCCAGCATTGGATAATCAAGATACATACCATCTTGCACGTGATCCTGAACCTACCCTCCAACCGCATCGACCGAACCCAGCTGAGGTGAGATTGAGCCCTTCACCAGTGACAGTCTCGGCCCTGCACAGATGTAATCGATGTTCGACCAATTCATTGAGCGCCCAGGATCTTCAATTCCATGTTGAATAGATGCATGGCTTGGACTCCACAGCTGTTTCATCCGATTCGATGCCTTCCAATACGCCCGCCACAGGTCCTGGTTCCAAGAAGAGTCGATATATTTCAGGCACTGGACCTGACAGTCTTGCACGGATTCTCCGCATGCCAAGTCCGGGCCCTGTGGTTGATCCGGCCACGACCTATGAATGCCCACTGTGCCAGGAAATGATTGGGCGCAAAGCCCTGGCCGCACACCTCAGGACATGCCATGACTTTGAGAGGCCTGCCGAGATGGACTTTGTCCCAGCCCGAGATATCCTGCCCGGACGCCTGACTTGTGCACATTGCAGAGCCACCTTTAGCATGGATTTTGCACTGAGAATTCATTTCAAAAAAGTTTCATGTCCGGTTCGTTTGTGTCAACTAGTTCGGGATCTACACTTTGGTGCCCCAATTCCTGTTCAGATTGCGGACATGCATGAAGCGCCAGTGACTCGACGATCGACCATGACATGGTCATTTGATTTGATGGGACCCATAGAGCCTTTGGATCCCCTCCGCCCGGCTAGCATGAGCCTTCTGACCCCCATAGTCTTTGCCATGAGAACGCCTTTGTCCTTTGCACCTGAAGTCCGACTACAATGGTTCATGGAAGCCCTGATCTGGGTCATTCATTGGCCTGCACTTCCGCAGGTGTGCTTGCCCATGACCTGGCTTAGCTGGTTCTTGCAGCACATCCACCTCCTGCTGCTGGTGATTTGGGCCTGGCGCTCAACCGAGGGGACACAGAGAGTTTTTTTTCGAGAGATCATGTCGGAGCGTGCCGATGACCAACTTGAGCTGTTGATCGAAATTTTTTATTTCATCTTGAGCACGCGTTGGCCCAAAGTCACTTGCTGAATCCTTTCCTGAGTGTTCATGATGCCAGAACATATGCAACCAGACGATCAGAGCTTTACCGAATTGATGCACTTGTGTGGGGAGCATCTTGGCAAACGTCCTCGCACGGACGACTCTCCACAGTCCAAACAGAACTCTGATCAGCGCCGCTCCAGCAGGCAGTCCAGCTCCTCGCCTTCGTCCAGTCAGGATGGCGACCTTATCCAGATGATTGCACGCCTCAGCCTGAGACAGGAAGACCTTTTGAACCAGATGTCTCTCGATCGGTCTTTTGTGGTCTTCCTACAATGCGGAAAAGGCAGCGTGATGCATCAGCTGTTGCAATCATCAAAAGACTGGCACAACAAACGCCAGACCCAGGGAGTGAATCAACCTTTGAGAACCTCGATGTTCACCACCTTCATAGAGGAACTCATCCGCAGAGCACAGTCCTTGAAGCTCGACGATCCCAAAGACGCCTTGCTCTTGGGCCTCAGATCCAAAAAGATCCTCACCAGTTCCAACCACTGGAACTACTTGAGTTGGGACTCCAAAGCCGAATGTTTGCTTCCTAACAAGATGGATCCTTTGAATTCCACTACCCTCCACGAGATGCTTCAGACTTTGGCTCGTTTGTCCCAGCGGCCGGACCTTGTTCACAGATTCACGGCCATGAAACCCCTTCCGAAAGACAAGGGGACCGACGAATTGACCATTGCCATTCCATGGCGGTTAGATCTTTCGATGGGAAGCCAGGAAAGCCACGACATGCACCGCATTGTCACTCAGTTGAGCGGCAATGGAATAACACAATTGGTCCTGATGAGGCATCGTCCGACGAGTTTGCAGCGCAGCCCACTCGCAGTGGCCATCAGTCAGAAGCTCCGGAAATGATTAGATAACTTGCACATCTCAAGTTGTCGAATCCGGATAATCTTTGCTACATTTTGAGTGTACTCAGGTCACAACTTTGGATTTCTCTGATGCAGAATGACTTTGATGTTATGAGTTGGGGGCCATGGGCGACTGGCCTGACAGACCTGCTGACCCATGCCGGGGGACCGCCTGTGCACTTGCAATCACAGGCCATGTTGGGGAAGCTCCTGACGCCATGGTTCATTGGCAGAGAGCGCACAGCGCCAGAAAGATGCTGAAGAGTTTGCCGGCTGCCTTCGCCAACAACTGTTCGTAGGACGTCCAGCTAGCAATCCTCACTCAGGTTGGCAAAAGCGCCTTTTGACCACGATTGAGGACCAGGGTTCCTTGCTAGCACCTCTGGTTCTTCGCACCGCACAGCCGCAAAAGTGTATGCTTCAGAGCTTGGTGGATGAATGGTTTGACCAACAGCCCTTCACTTGTGCAATCGCGCCAACAGATTTGCCTCCAAATTGATAGATATCCGGCATTAGGCATCAGATTTTCTGAACCCGTGCTTTGGGATCGTACTGATGTTCTTCTACCGGTCTTCGACCACCATGCAGGCCTTGATATTTCATGGTATAACTACAAGGTTGTTTCTACTGTGCTGCACAGAGGAGGCCTAACCGAGGCCATTATGTTGCTGGGATATTCACCTCCCTGGGCTATTTGACGGCCGACGATGAAAGCCGACCATGGACGAAACCAGTGGTTGACAATGCCACATACGATGACAACTACCTGCTATGGCTGGTGCTCGACACGCTCCTCACGAGCCCACGTTGGCGCCTGCCAATATGCCGCACCATCAGCCGTGAGACCCTCCCAGATCTTCTTGGAGCTGCTTTTGATGGATAGCTCGTTCATTTTTGACCTCAGGTGACGCAGATTTGGGCCATGAGTTGTTCACGAAACAGCCGCCGTGGTGTGCAGCCGCCCTCGACGGGCAGACATAATGACTGCCGAATAATGAAATGAATGAATTAGTTGAAATTTAATATATTAGCAATTAATGTTTAAATTAATTGATGTTGTTTAGAGCATAATTTTCGGATGAATGCGAGGGCGTAATTATTTGGACGGAATATAATGATACAATCATATGTTTCTTGAATTGAAATTATATATATATTAATATTGTTTGTTTTTGTTATATTTATTATTATTATATTTTGGATTATATTAAAGAATTCGATTTGAAATACGAGAAATCTTTCTTTATATATTGGGAATTTGATTATTACGGAAGGATTTGGTGCGAAGGTTGCCGATTAATTATTGATCGGGGAGAATGCATTATAAATAAATATTTAGGTATTTTCGATTCGTATAAAAACAAACGAAATTTAGGTAATGTTTAGCATAGGCCATATTTTATTCTAATCTAGATATAAATAAATAAATAGAATTTAGAAATGAATTATATATAAGAAAAAATCAAATTCAATTTTTAAATGAATAATAAAATACATCCGCACTAATCACACCAAAATACCCATTTATCATAGAAGGTCATTATTTGCATTAAAAAAAAGGAATTCAAATTAGAATTAAATTAAATTAAAATCTAAATAAAATTAAAATAGAATTAGATTTTTATTCAATTAAATTTAATTTAGTCCAATTCTAATTTAATTTAATTCTAATTTAATATAATTCTAATTCAATTTAATTCTACTTTAATTATATTTTAATTATTTTTAATTTAATTTTAATGTAATATAATTTATTTTTAATTTAGTTTAATTCTAATTTAATTTAAAGTTTGTAATTTTAATACATTAATAAAATAAATCCGTTTAAAAAAAAAATAATCTCTAGCGAAATAAATATACGAATATTTTTATAAATTTATAAAATTCTACCAATCTATAATAATTATTAATAACAAATAATTCATTAAAATTATATATATATTTATATTATTTATATAATCGAATTTTACCATTACCAATAATACACCATATAATTATTCCATCGATACAATACCTTACCCAAATTCCCCAAATAATATATATTTAAAAAAAAACGATTAATAAAATAACGAAAATTATACATATTTTATATTAATTATATAATAAGTATATCTATTCTTTTAAAAATATAATAATATTTAAAAAATATTAATTAATATATAATATTATATCAAAATAACAATAATTATAAATAAAAAAATAACCAAAATAAAATAAATATTCGTATATCCAAAATATAACAATATTAATATATATAAATTCGAATTATCGCAATAAAAATATTATACGAAATCAAAATCTATATCGTCGTTAAGTCGGATTTTTATAATTCACGATCCATGTCATCGATATCTTTTCAAATTAAATAATCTGTATCGAAATCCATTTCGGGACGAAGTAATTCAAGAAGAAAGGAATTATTAATTTAAAATTAATTCCATAGGGGGAAAATTTGCATTAAAAAATCAATTCCAGGATTTAATGGAATTATTAATCGCTAAATCTAGAAGAATCTATGTATATTGATATCATTTAAGAGTTACCTTTCGTAATATTCTTCGAATTGTGTTCCTACCAATTCTAAATCCTGAGGTGAAGATCCTGTTATTCATTGAGTTGTGGGTGTGGAGGCAGATGGATTTAATTTATATATTGTTTTTAGCCCCCGGGGTGCCGGTTATGTTGGACACGCTGGAGGGCATCGCCAGCATCCTGGAGGTTGTGTTGCTCAGGGCATGAGACCGAGGCTTCCACTCCGCTTTGGCCCTACGAGCTCTGACTCATGTGGTTGTGTTGCCCTGCTTTTGGCCAAGACGGCCGCAGGGAGAGTCGTGATTGCTGTTGAAAAGAACCGAGCAACCAAAAAAGAAAAATGAGCTTGCTGCGGCTTGGCACTTAGCAGTAGCTGGGAGACAGGTTGAGCGATCTGCTGACATCGATGAGCAGGATGAACAATGGTGCAATGTGCTTGAGTGGAGTAGTGTCCAAGAGACGAGAATCTCACATCGTTTGTTCAGCTCACGTCCGAGGAATGCGTGGAGCCCTTCGCTTCCTCAGAGTTGTGGAGGCCTTCGTTCATTTCTTTTTGAAAAGGCCATCAAGTGGCTACAGCAAGTTGAATCTGATGCAAGTGGCGTGTCGGGTGTCGTTCATTGAGCTTTTATGTTGATCTTTGTGGCAGTGCTTTGGTTTGGAGATCGATCCGTATGTCAGGACTACTTTCAGTGCTGACTTCAGGATGTTCAAGAATATTTTTAGAGTGATCTGCGGCCATCTCTGCTATGTGGGTTGATTCAGTTGTTTTCCCTTTTAGTCATGAGAGGCTGAGGAGAGCTGAGGAGAGGTTCCTTTGAGGTTTGGGCCGAATGTGCAGGGCTGGTCCAAGCCCTGGAGAAGGCATGAGGATGCAGGGTCAGCCATAGGTTCCATCTCCTCTGCCTAGGTGAGAGACACAGTGACCGCTGCAGTCCGCGTGCCGCGTAAACCCAACTGCATTCTGCTGTTTCGAATATTCCTATGTTTAACACAATGAATACATATAAATGCATTCAGCCATATGTTTTTTGTCCTGAGACGCTGTATACTGTACATCAATCCCCATTAGGGAAAATGCCCGACACAAGCCGGGGCTTAAGTGAGACACCCGCCAGCGGTTTGTCCCAAGGATGCAATGAGCGAATCAAGCTACATTGGGATCTTCGAGAACGTTGTATGTTGCAAAGGCACAAATACAGCAACTGCTGCTTTCAACGTTCGTTGAGCACCCCTGGTTCAGTATAGGGGTGCAGGCCTAAAAATGTCTGGCTTCATGAACGTCATGAATGTGCCCATGGTCTGCAAGGGTAAAACACTTTTGCCAAACACTGGTTTCAAAGACTGAAAGCAATTGACAGGGACGTGCCATGTCCACGTGTTCCATTGAGTCAGCAGTCTATGTCAAGCCAGAGGTCAAGCGGACGAAATAGGCGCGTCGTTGTTCAGGGTCGACCGAAATAGGCAGGTCTAGCTCACTTCAGGACATGGCAATAAGCAATCCAAATACTCCGACCTGCTTATCACGTCAGGTGAATCACCCTTTCAATAACTCCATTTGGTTAGAGCGTTCTACACTCAGCTCTCCGAGCAGAGTGATGGTATGTTTTGGAAGTGGTGCTTAACGGTGTGTCTCTTTAAGCTGATGAAACGTGTAATAACAAGGGCAAGACTTTTCCGTAGCGCCTCTCGGCCACGGAAGGATCTCATTCCTCGAGCAAGAAGTAGCTGCCCGCTTGCTTCTGCTCACGATCCTCCAAGGTGGGCCGAAGAAAGATTGATTTAGATTGCAAACTGATTGAAGAAAAATCAGAAAACATTATATAAACAAAAAGAAATACTGAAAAATACTGTTCCTACCTGCCTTTTCTTTTGTTTCCTCATTCCTCCATCTACATTCCGGCTCCCGACCAATGCCTTGACTGATTCAGCTTTGTTGATTCGAGGTCGGTAGTTTGTAGGATCCCGGCCTGAAGCCAAGCTATGGCCAAACATGTTAAACAATGATAGCATTTGCCTGACCATGCTCTAGGCTCATGGCGGAAGGTGATTTCCAGCTGGGCCAAAAACTTGTTCATGCCCTTCAGATGTTTTCCAAATTGGCGTGGCCAAGCTGAGACAAGCAAAGCAAACTGTATCTGGCCTCCAGCAATGACATTGGTGCCGATGCCACACATTCAATACCAGGTCTGCAGGCACTTCGAATGTCAAAGGCAAAGGGTTGGTCTATTCTTGCTTGTAAGCAATCACCAGACAGAATCGTCGTTTTGCCAGTTGATTGCTCAGGAGAGCTTTGATCCTCAAAAATGATTGGTGCGCTGGAGTTGTGGGGCGCCTCCCATCGTAGACAATGACGCGATCAGCCAGGTACCTCTCCAAAATGCTGAGCCACTCGAAAGTAAATCTTGGGACTCTGCACACGTGGCCATGATGAAGTCATGCTCGACAATAAAGGCTGTCTTCTTCGCATGCAAAATGAACCTGGCAGACAAAAAAGAAACAGGACAATTCTCAAAGCGCAACACATCTTTCCGTTGGCCTGAACAAAAGCACTGGACAAAGAAAAAAGACACCCTGCGCACCTCTTCATCACTCGAGCTGCAACTACACGCTGTTCAACATCTAAATAGGCTGAAGGCTCGTCTATCAAATAAATATCGGCCTGAGATGGGTGCATTGCAAAAAGACTGGGAGCTCTTGTTGCAAGCGGCCCTTCGTGTATGAATCCCAAGGAGCAAAATGATAGCCCTACCAAAAAGTAAAAAACAGCGGAGAAGCCTTGGTCAGTGTGACTGTGGCCAAACATTGACTGTGATAATCTCCGCACTGGGCTCACTACAGGCTTCCCCAAGGAAAGCACTAGTGCCACCTCAGCGATTGCCGGTGCTCCATGTCCCACAACATGCAATTCCCTACAAAATGACAGCCAATCTCACTCACCTGTCCCTTACTGGGTCATGCGGTCTGGCAGAAAAAAGCATCCAAATAAAAGCTCTTCTGAAACCGCTCCATCAGCGTGCTTTGTTGGTTGCGAGGCGCATCCCAATCAAAAGGAGTTTTTCAGGTTCACCTGCACCAATTTGCCGAGGAACTCGTTGCAATTCGCCGCCGCTCAGTGTCTGTACCTTCAAGTGTTGGAACGGCACGTGAGCCTTTTGCATCCAAACCAGTAAGGGTTGTTACGTGATCTGAACATGAAGACAAGTTGTGTTGAATATGTCCGTGGTGTTTTCTTTTTCAGTAGATAACTTTAGTCATCTGAAAACCACCGTCGCCGTGGAGGAAAAAGGGTGCGCCGCCTGTAGGCGGCCGTGGTGGACTCTCTGGCAGCATGAAACTCTTGCACTCAGCCTATTGAAAAAACTCAGCTCTGGTGTTATCGCCCCTTCTCAGCTGCTGTGTTCTCAGGTGCAAGTGTGGTCAACAATCTGGTACATTGTGGTCAACAATCTGGTCGATCAGCATGGGCTTCGTGACGTCAGTCTGAAATTGTGGATGCAAGAACCTTGGTGGGGAGGTGAGGTTTGGAGTCTCTGTCTCCAGCAATGCACTTCTTCTAGACTTTGCGGACACCCGAAGAACATGCTACATCTCCTGATTTAGTGCGGACGGTGCTTTCCCCTTCTGCTCAACTTGCTAAGCCTTCAGATTGCAGCATGCAGTGGCTCACCTATGTAGTTTTTGGTTGGTTGAGTCCTGCTGTTTTGAGTAAGATTTGGGCGTGCGGTTGCGTTTCCGAAAGTGAGATTAATCTGTGGGCACTCTCTGTTTCTGAAAACCACTGATCCCAAGAGGGTCTTTAAAATTCACTAGGGTTCTGAGAGAGTCACGCATCTCGGATCTTCATGAGAAACAAGTCCTCCGATGCAGCGAAGCCCATAGAAAAAGTTAGGTGCAACCAAGGCGAACCTAAAAGTCCAGCAGTTGCCAAAGTCTTCGTTTGACATCTAGGCGTTGATACTGGGATCACCGTCATATTGCTTTAGCAAAATATCGGAGTGTGGGCCAGTGGTGGCCGCATCTCTATCGTTCAAAGCAGGGAGGTCAGAGGGGCGCCTTGCCTTCTCAGCCCGTCGTTGTCATCACTTCACCATCAAGCGTCGAACAAAACAATCACAATCAGAAGTGAAGACTTGGCACTTACCATATAGGATTTCAGATTGGCTTACTCTCCAAACAATCACAATCAGGACGTCATTGTCATCACTTCCCATCGTATTGTAGCACCCATGCCGTCCTTCACCGTGCCTTCAAACTTGGCACTGATGGTCTGTGGCTTGTACGACACCTTTGCCAAAGCATGAACAAGCGTCTGTTGAGAGACGCTGCTTAAACAAGGAAGATTGAGTTGGAATCCTTTCATTATCCAAAGCTAGAGATAGAAACAACAACAAAACAAGGAAATTGGGATCCTTCGTGCACTGTATGAAATCCTCCATTGCAGATTCAGAACTCCGACACAAACCTGTTCCAAGTATTTTCCGTATGTTCCTTCCAGTCCCATCTGGCGCACATTCAGCTCTGGGAGCTCTTCACCTTGGAAGAATGCACAAATAATGGCCAAACAAACAGGAAGATCAAGAATGAAACAAGGTATATAATAACACATACATACATTCACATATATATATATATATTAAGCTAGCAATAATTATTTAATACCATTTAAAATATGGAGTATAATCTATTATTTGGAGAAAAGAGTGCATGAGAAACGACGGATGAAATTTGATGTGATGCTTTGCACATTCTGAGAAACTGAAGCTTCAGAAACAAGAGAGTTATTCATAGTTGTTCAGGGACCACAATGTCTGATAACCTCTACAAAGGCCCCTCTGAGGACCGTGTTGGACATGTTGAATCTCCAAGTCCCAGTCCCTCTGGCAAGTCATCAGGCTTCAAGAGACCCGCCAGCATTCGGATGAAGGTGGTCTGCAATGCGGTTGACTTTGTTCAACTTTTGCTGTTGCATCACTTGATCAACATTCCCCGTTCGCGATGAGAATCTTCGACTTCATCACTTCCAATGATCGACTTCATCACAGCTGGTCACCTTCCCACAACCATTCTGGCCGAGCAAAACCAAGATCTCTGAAGAAGCAAAGTTTCCAGCCTGGCAGGCTCCGGAACGAACTTCCTGGCTAGCAGCCTGCTTCCTTTCCTCTCCGACTAGTAGCTCCGCTAGCTTCAAGTGTCGTTACTGGCGTCTTTGCACGCTCTTCGGGTTTAAATGTTGCGCCGAACCATGTAAGCCACGCTGTAGGATTCCCTCGTGGCTGTAAATGTTGATTGGTGGAGAAGAAGCAATGCAAACCTGTTAAACCAGGGACCATACAGAATTTCAAGTGGAGATAAAGTTCTCGAAGTGTTAAGTGTTCTCCCCCGAGAATCTAATCCTGTCCTGTTTTGAAAACAAAGGACCACAATCCAGTCCTTGTTCGGAAGTACACAACTCTGCTCCCTCCCTCTCCCTCCCTCTCAGTTGTCTATTGCTAGAGATGTCTATGTCCTATGTCCAGCTCTCTTTCTCTCCTTCTTTCTGTATGGTATGTTTCTTTCAGGCTTTCGTTATTATGTCTTTCTCTCTTCCTTTCTTTCTTTGCCACAAGGGGCCAGTTCATTCAAGGACGGCCTCAATGTCAAGCTTGAATCCACCCATCTTCTTTGACATCTTCGGATACCTTGATGGCGCATCAAATCCATATCCATCATTTGCACAACCAGACACAAGGAGGATCCTCTGAGGAAAGTGCTCCGTGTTGTGCATTCTGTCCAGCTTCGAAGGGTCTAAATCTTCACTCACCTTGAAGCTCAAAGAGACCTGCACCAGAGTCATAATACCCATCAGGGCCATGGTCAACAAGACTTCCTGTTGTCCATACATTGACTTTGCTGATTCAATGTGAGTTCACCATTGTCGAGCCTCCCGAAATCTCAGATTTTCCTTGCAAAAAAGTTAGTCAACTGACGGCTTTGAGGCTTGGTCAAAACACGGTGTGCGTCTGTTTTCTCTCATTATGACTATATCATATCATAATCCCAAGTTCTACAGTGAGCGTATGTTGTGTTAGGCATGTGAGCTTGTTTGAATACTGCTCGGAGAGGGTGGGAGGTGGCAGACAAAGACATATAACAAGCTTCACTGTCATTCCTATGCACCAGATGTAATTTGCTATGCAGCCGTACGTGAAAAATGACCTTCGGCAGTGAATGGGGCACTGGGAGAAAGAGGAGTAAGGATGGAACATGCAGCACCATTCAAATGTTGAAAGACACTCATTTGAATGATTTCTCCCACTGATGGTGTCCTCTCACATCTCCCATTCCTATCATTTGGTGCCTCTTTCAACATTTGGATGTGGATGTTCCCCCCGCTTCGTCCCTGGTGTCTCATGCCACAGAGACCTGCCGAACGTGATCGTTTCTGGGCCAAGCAAGCCTAACGTGTCTCGCTTAGAGTCTGAAGCGTCACAGCTTTATGACGTGCCTGTGTATTTTAAGGCTTACACCGAGCTACTGGGCCCACAGGGTTGTGTTTCGGGTTCCAAGCCTGGCTGCAAACAGTAGAAGTTCTGACAGCCGGGCACCGGCATGAAAGGAAGAGGAAGAGGATGTTTACTTTTCTACTTCCTCTGTCTCTCGCTCTCACTCTCGCTCTCACTCTTGTCTCTCTCTCTCTCTCTCTGGTTGTATGGAGGCCCAGTTAGCCCAAAGAATCTTTGGACCTCACTGCTGCAAAAAAAGAATATAACACCCAGTTAGGCCAGAGAATCGTGCTATCTGACTGCTGCCAAAAAATAATTGGCGCCCAGAATCTTGCCACCTGACTTGACTGCTGCCAAAAATTGTTTGGCGGCCAGCTAGGCCAGGGAATCTTGCAACACCAGCATTCACCTCGCCCTCAGGTCCTTCATGTACCTCCGATAAACTTTGAGGCCCAGTTAGGCGAGAGAATCTTTGGATCTTACTGCCCCGAAAAAAAGATTGCACCCAATTAGGGCAAATATTCTTGCCACCATACTTCCCCAAAAGTATTGTTGATGGTGAACTAGGCCAGAGAATGCTGCCACCGACTCTTTCTCTCTCTCTCTTTATCTTTTTCTCGTTCTCTTTCTCTTTCTCGTTCTCTTTCTCTTTCTCTGTCTCTTTCCCTTCCTCTTCCTTTTCCCTTTCCTTTTCCCCTTCCTCTTCCTCTTTCTCTTTCTCTTCCTCGTTCTCTTTCTCTTTCTGTGTCTCTCGTTCTCTTCCTCTTCCTCTTCCTGTTCTTTTTTCCTCTACCTCTTGAACAAGAGAAACTGAACAAGCAGGAAGAGGCAAATGAATAGGAAAAGTAAGAGGATGATCGGAACAGTAATAGAAAAAATATGTAAGCAAAATCACAAAATGCTGATAATGCAAAATAATTCTAGTAGCATAACTCGCACCACTGGGCGTGAAAACGACTTGAAACCCAACAACATCTAAACACAAACGCAAAATAGAAAGGCCAAAATATACCGTAAAACACAGGCCCCGAGTGGGTCAGTGGCACCTGTTTAAACGGGCACGGGGCCAGCCCCTTGCCCAATGTCTATGTTCCTTCTTCCAGGGGGTCCTTGGGAGGTCTCCCTAATGGAATACATCCCCGCATCTGCTTCTCTGGAAGGTTTGGCAAGAATCCGTTGGGATGAAGCCTTCAAGGAAGATGTTGATGCCTGGGCGAAAAAGAATCTATTGGTTTCCTTTGGGCGTGAGAAATGACGTGGCACCAGCAGCCTTCACGGACGCTGAAGGGCATCGTCACCACACCATAGGCACCAGCAGAACCCCACCTGGCACCAAACCACGTCTTCATGTGCCACATCGTTCGAACAAGCACCCCAAATGCATGTCATGTGTTGCGACAAGCTTTGGCAGGGTAGCAAACAGCAAATGAAGTCTGAGAGGTAGTCCAGCACTGCCAGGTCATGCCTTAGGCAAAGGACTGCCTCCAGTCTTGAGAATCCATGCTCAACAAACTTACCTTGGCATTGGCAGTCCGAGAGCTCCTTTTTCAGAAGTCCGAATCCTCTTTCCAGACTCCCCTTGAGGAAGGACAGCAAGTTCATGTCCAAAGAATTCTGAGGGCTGGTTCTCAAACTACAAGGGCAGGTGGGCCCTGGTGGGCAGCAAACTTGCAAGTTGACGTATCAACTTGCCCAAAGCCACAAATCGTTTGTACGAATCTGGGTTGAGTTCAACAAAGCTGAAACCACACTATGGCTAAGGGTACTGCTCCACTACAACGATGTAGTTGTCCACTGTCTGCAAACTTCTTACCACCTCGCGGAAACAAAGGAGAGCGTAGTCTCTTTTGTCACGTTCATGTTTAAGTTTCAGCAAACCTGTCATGTTCGAGATCAGGGAGTGGCTTCAGCTTTAGGAATTGTGGCTGCAAAATGATTCCCAATGAGTTGGTAAACTATGTTTCAGCCCTGGCTACCCTGGCTATCCCGGCTAACCCATGATCTTTGGATAGGCAGCTCTTTCTGGATTCTCTTCATGTTTCTCTCGGCATTTGGTTCAGAAAGCCCTTTTGTTTGGATGTGTCTTTGCTTCGTTGCTTTTTGTTTCTGTTTTTTCTGTTTTGTGCCTTTCTGCCTTTTAGATGTCCCTTGTTTGTTCTTTCTTTGCGTTGTTGCTTTTCGGAATGTTTGCTTCTAGGTGTTCCTGTTTTTTCTGTGTTTTCTGTGCTTCCTTCGTCTGCTTGCTTTGTTTTTTCATATGTTTCCTTTCACTTTGTCTCCTTTCGTTTGCTTTTCTTTTATGCACCGATTGCTTGCTTTGCCTGTTGGACCACCACTAGCAAGTCAAGCACGAGGAAGCAGGCAAGCAGGCCCGCACATAAGCAAGCCATGCCAGCAAGCAAGCCAGTTGCAAAAAGGAAGGAAACAAAATAGAAGCAAGAGATGAAGGAATTTGTTTTACAAAAAACCTTTAAAAATTATGCAAAAAATAAAGGACGATTACACAAAACAGTGTGTGCCCCAGGTGGTTGGAACAGTTCCAGTTCCAGATCCAGTTCCAGTTCGAAAAGTGGTGGTAGCTGTTCCAGATCCAACTCCAGTGGTCGCTTCAATTCCTGCAAATAGTATATACAATTTTTGGTGGGGGATGAGAAACTGGATAAAAGAAATAATTGCTTTGGGGGGGGTGGAGTTCCAGTTCCAGTTCCTGATGCAGTTCCTGTCTGGCGAGAGACCCCAAACAGTGTGTGTGAGGTCTAGAGCCTAGAGGTGTAGCAGCGGAAAGTCTAGAGATCTAGACGCGAGAGGTGATGGTGGTGATGAAGGTGAAGGTGGAGATCGTGCGTGTTGATGTGTGACTGTGACTGTGATGAGTCAGTGAGTGAGTGAATGAGTACTGTAAGTAAGTAAGTGAGTGAGTGAGTGGGTGAGTGGGTGGGGGCGGGTGTGAGTGTGAGTGAAAGAGTGAGAAGAGAGAGAGAAGAGAGAGAGAGAGAGAGTGAGAGTGAGAGAGTGTGAGTGAGAGTGGGCGCGAGTGTGTGTGTGTGTGTGTAACCCTTGGAATCACAGGGATCCTTTCGGATTGTTCTCGCTTTTGGTGTTTTGAGCTTTTCAGCAGGGGGCAGTAGCCCACTCATGAGTCTACTGCCAACGAAGCTGCTCATGAGTTGGGAGGATATCGGAGCTGATCACTCCGACGTACCTGCAAGTTTTGTGATGTTCTCAAGCTGTGACTCTCATTTCTTTAAAGGGCTAATGAGTTCTGCAGACGTGCACGGACCGTCGTCAGTCTGTTCGACCCGCGACCGTCGTTCGTTTTCTTCCTTTTGGACCCTACTTCCTCTTGAAGACCTCCAGGATGCAGTGGTTCGTACATGTACCCTTAGGAATTGGAACCCTAGGCCGGCGTGTGGCGCCGCTGTCAAGTCAGTACGCATATCCATGAGCGCGTCTCTCCTAGTGAGAGTCCGGGATGAGCCCGCAGAGTGCCTCCCGTGGACCCGTCGAACGGGGGATTGTCGTTATCTTCCTTGCTTTGGAGATGAAAGTGTCCGGAGCGGACAGCAGGTGGCCTAGGCAGAACGTATGATGATTTTTGTCCCATCTTTGGAATCCAAGTTGGCTCATGCCTTTACGTGACCGAAGCGGTCAGAGGTGGCCGCCCTTGGGCATGCCGTACGTGGTCGCAGCGACCAAAGTTTGTTCAAGGTTCATTGGAACCTGTGGAGAACTTAGCCCCCTTCTCCCCCTTCCCTCCCCCTTTCTTTCTTTGCTTTCTGGGGTTTTCCTGAATGTAATACTCAGGATCTCCCCTTTCTTTCTTTGGTGTGTCCCTGGACGATTGTTCGTAGCTGGGAACACCTCTTTCTCTCCTCTCCCTTTCTCTTCCTCTCTCTTTCTTTCCTTCTCTTTTTCCTCTCTTCACGCTCTTCCTTGGGCGTCCCTGGACGCTTTCGTCATAGCTGGGAGCCCTTCCTTTTTGGTGTGTCCTTGGACGCTTGCGCCGTAGCTGGGAACACCTTTCTTCCTTCTCTCCCTCCTTCTCTTTTCCTCCTCCCCTCCCCCCTCTTTCCCGCGCGTGGCGTATTTACAAGCAAACTAGGCTTTTGCAACAGGTTTCTCAATGAGGTTTGGGCTGTCATCGGTTTGTCCCCTTTCATTTGGTTCCCCTTTCATCCGCCCCCACAGACTTTTTTCCCTTCTTTCCTTTCATGTCCTTCTGTCTTCATGTCTCTTCATCCTCATCCTTTCTTTCTCTTGCGCGCACTATCGTCCGGACCTTAGTTTGTACACATACACGCGCGCGTACAGCGAGGTTCAGGTGGCCCAGGTTCGTTACAATGAGGTTTGGCTCATCGGTTGTCCCTCTTCACTTTGTTCCTTTTCATCGGCAACCACACACACCTTTGTCTGTCTTGTCCTTCTCATTTTCATCTGTCCCTTTTGCGTGCACATGTGCCTACCTCCTTTCCGGGCAGGATGGAGGTCACACATGCCTCCCTTCGGGGAGGCGTGCGTGTGTGTAACCCTTGGAATCACAGGGATCCTTTCGGATTGTTCTCGCTTTTGGTGTTTTGAGCTTTTCAGCAGGGGGCAGTAGCCCACTCATGAGTCTACTGCCAACGAAGCTGCTCATGAGTTGGGAGGATATCGGAGCTGATCACTCCGACGTACCTGCAAGTTTTGTGATGTTCTCAAGCTGTGACTCAAATTTCTTTAAAGGGCTAATGAGTTCTGCAGACGTGCACGGACCGTCGTCAGCCTGTTCGACCCGCGACCGTCGTTCGTTTTCTTCCTTTTGGACCCTACTTCCTCTTGAAGACCTCCAGGATCCAGTGGTTCGTACATGTACCCTTAGGAATTGGAACCCTAGGCCGGCGTGTGGCACCACTGGCAAGTCAGTATACGCATATCCATGAGTGTGTGAGTGAGAATAGAGCGAGTGAGTGAGTGTGAGTGCAAGCGTGTGTGACTATGAGTATGAGTGAGAGCGAGAGGTGAGCACCGGAGAGCGCAAAGCGCTGCGCCTGCCACGGAATCTTCACTTTGACGTTCACAAAGCGCTGCGCCTGCCACAAAAACTGCACTTCGAGGTTTACAAAGTGCTGCGCCTGCCACGAAATCTGCATCGAGGTTCACAAAGCGCTGTGCCTGTGCTTGTCACGAAATCTGCACATCAAGGTTCACAAAGCGCTGCGCCTGTCACGAAATCTGCACGTCGAGGTTCACTAAGTGCTGCGCCTGCCACGAAATCTGCACTTCGAGGCTTTGAGGTTGACAAAGTGCTGCGCCTGCCACGAAATCTGCAAACGATCCACATGTGCAAAAGCTATGATTCACTGCACCTGTCACGAAATCAGAGCGCCTCGAAGATAGATCACCATCATGTCCAAAGCACTACACTTTCCATGAAATCTGCACTTCGAAGCAAAACCGCTCCGATCCCTTGCACCTGTCACGAAAAGTCGACTTTGGACCACCAAAGCACGAGGCTTCCCTCGCGCCTGCCACGAAAAGTGACCACCGTCTGCGAAAATGCGCACGGCACCACAACGAGAGCGCAGTTGGGACAAGCACCTGCCGTGGCCACCCAGATTTCGCGAGCCTGCGCAGTCGAAATGCACGTCGATGATTTCGAGAGACATGAATGTACTGTAAATAGCAGCGAATTAGCCGCACACGCCCGCGCTGCCCACTCGATCTAGCCCCGGTGCTTAACCACTACCGTAAGAACCCCTAAGTGTGTCCACACTGTTTGGAGAATGAAAAAAATGGAAGCATGGAAGCAGGCAGACAGGCAGGCAAGCATGCGCGCAAGAAAGAAAGGAACGCTGGAAATACCAACAAAATGTCAATACTGGCTGGCCAACGTGCTGTTCATTGCCGCAGAAGTGGACAATGGGATATCCAAAGTGCTGTAAATCTGCAAGTAGCAGAAGTTGACGATATCGAAGGGCTGTATATGCCAGCGACAAGCCAAACACATGCTGCAAATAGTAGCAGAAGCTTCTACTGTGATGTCCAATGTACATACCAGCAAACAGTGAACCCAAAGGATGCTGAACAATTTCAGAAAACACTACAAATAGTTTAACAATGGCAAATAATTATAGACCATCCCGAAAGCATCCCGAATTGAATCTGCCCCCGCTTTTGGACTGGTGTGCTACTTGCCACTTGCCCTACTTTCATCTTTACGCGCTTGGGAGAATTGAAATCCCGTCTTTTCCTTGCTGGCCGCAACTGACCTTTAATTAGGAGAGGTGGAAATGTCAAATCTTTGCTCTCCAGCCTGTGCAGCAGCGATGCGCTGTTTGACATCAAGATATGAGGAAGGCCTGAATAGAAAAGCACAGGAAAGAGAAACTGATAAACATCTCTCAAACTGGGAAACCACCCAGATTGTCAATGTTGAGAAAGGTTACACGAAAATCTAGTCTGGAAGACACACATCTTGACATCCAGTTTGTCTCAAACCTATAAATAACAAAACTGCTCAGCTCTCGGCTCGTCAAACATGTACACTTGAGCATCTTGGACACAAAGGACTGGCAGGTTGCTGGATGGGTTGCGGCAGGGGTCTTGTTCTGTGGCAGGTGTATCCACCAGCGACGGCCTCCAACCTCATAGCGATGGCCTCCAACCTAATAGCAAATAGACAGGTGATAGGTGAGACCAAGTGACCCACTTTCTTGACCAGCTTTCTGAAAACCGTTTGAACCTTTGCAGTTGGGGGAAGCATTTGTCATCCCAATAGCTTCAATAAGCCATCTAATTACCATTCAGGCTGTTTGACCACAACGCCCCCCATCTACCAGCCGTTCGGGTCCGGACCACATCAACCAACTCACCAACTGGGCGACCCCTGTATATTCTCTCGCTCTCTCTTGCATGTGCTCACCATACGCAATCCACGTGAATCCAAACACACCTGCATGACCGGTAAATACTGTAAGTCTTCCTTTTGCAGCCTTGCAGTCGACCCTTTGCCTTTTTGATGTTTGTCTTGAGCTGATGATCTGACATCAACAACACTAAGGGAACATAGGCCATGAGATTCACTTGGGCCGCCAAGCCATGACCGCTCAGCAAGCCAGCAAGTCTCTATCCGAATGACAAACACAAACGCATTCTTAAACAGCAGGTGCCTGCAATAGAGAAGCGCTGAAGCTCACCACCAGAAAGATCCTTGATTTGTCGCTCCTGGAATGTTCAATCTCCAGGAGATCTGCTTTGGTCTGTCCCGGTGCGTCAGTCTTTCCTTCTCTGAGCCTGTATAATTTTAGATGTGAGGTTGAAAAACTCGGCGCCTGCAAGTGATCAAGTTCCAGCTCCTTGCAAAAGTGCTCCTCTGCAGGCTGAGAATCGATTTTGATGACACAACGGAAGGAGGTGGGAAGAGAACTTGTGCAGATTTGGTGCAAATACGAAGCATGAATGCTCCAAAATTGAGATATCTTTTAGGCCTCTCTCTCTCTCTATCTATCTATCTATCTGTCTATCTATCCATCCATCCATCCGTCCGTCCATCCATGCATCCATCCATCCATCTCCATCTCCATCTCCATCTCCATCTCCGCCTCCATCTCCATCTCCA